ATTCATTCAAGAATGTTGTGCAAGTTTCCTGCAACAATGGAGCCACGAACTTCACATACTTTTGAAATCCAGGGATAAGTTGATCTTGATACGCAACACACACGTCTCCCAGAAATCCTGTAGAATTCAACCAATCAGATGACGACTTCTAAACTCCCGAAGTGTTTCCCATTTTGTGTGCCTTATGCGTCAGACGTTCAGCCAACGGTCTGTGGGCGTGACGTCTGAGGCTGAGACTAAGCATGAACTAACAATTAACAATACTTCTATAGTATTTATTAATATTAGTAAAACATATTGAATAACTTATGTTTAAAACTAAATTTGAATGGTTATTTTGTTTATTTTTTTCATCTGACAAGGAAAATAATCCCACAAAGCATCGGGCTTTCAGTGCCACCAAGAAACACTGAAAAGCTTCTCTCTAGTGCCACTCCGGCTTCTTCCGTTCACCATCACCAGTCACCGGTCACTGCTTGAGTGATTTTGGTGTGAGAGAAAACACTCAGACCATTTTAAATGAACACGTTCCTCACTGCAGGAGGTTTCAAAGTTCTCTCTGCTTCAATTTTTCCACAAATATTCCTCCCAAGAGTCCCGTGAATGGTGGAAAAAGGAGCTGAATCTGCATTTAGAGAGTCATTGCAACTTTCATGCTAGGTCTGCATTCCCAACCTAATATAACTGATTATGAATAATTATCAACCCGAATTGTTCATGCTTAACTGTAAAGACCCCTTGACAGTTATGCATATTTTTCAGCATTGATGTATTTCACATTAAAACAGGAAGTAGGGAGTTGGAGATCTTGAAGGGTTCACTTTTTATTAAGTAGGCTTTAGTTTACGCTGATTTTTTTAATTGCAAATGCTAGTATTGGTAGGCAGCAGCAACAACTGGGACATTCTAATCATAAAGATCATATTTTTGGACAAAGGTCCAGTAAAGAGTAACACATGTCCAGCTTTACACCACTAGCAAACATTCAGATGCCCACAAAGCCACGTTATTGAAGAGCTTGTGTGTCGGGCTCCAGCTGTCCCTCTGTTCCTTCGTATCTAAACAGGGATCTGGTAACCAGGAGGGCAGCTCACTTACAGCCCTCATCATGATATGTGATGTAATGAGGCCATTAGATCCTGCTAATAGGTTGTTGGAGCAGTCAACCGAAAGAAAAGGCTGGTGGATCGGTTTGCCCGGCCCACTGCTTTCAGGGTGGTCAGATAACACTGCCATTGAGCTCTCAGAAAGGTCAGGTGTGCGAGATGTGGATGTCACTCTTTTATTAGGTGATGCCTTTGAATCGACTCCAAGATATCTAAGACAATTGATAAGTGATGGGTATTACCTTGATAATGGTGAGGGATGGAACAACTTTTGACAGTTATTGCTGAAATGTCACCACTTCTCAATAGTGGGCAGAAACAGAAGATGGGTTATCAATGAAGCAGCTGCGTCTGATATTTTAATATCACCTATTGTATGCCTCATTTTGGCAGCAAGTCAATGTAAACTTAAAGTGTGTACACAACCACCCTGTTGTAGTAAAAATCAATTCACTCTGTTTGTTATTTTCCCCATAAATCTGAAGTGTCTCAGTATGAGCCGTTCAGGAATGCGATTCAATATGACGTCACTGCGGAACAAGCCCCGCCCACGAGTGCAGACAGACTCCGCCCTGTTATCGTAGCTCCGCCCCTCAGTGAGCTGCACACAGTCCGCCATGTTTATCTCCTCACCAGAGCATTCAAGTAAGAAATATATTCTTATTAAAGCTACTAAAGTTATTCAGTCAAGAGCAGGGAGTGATTTTCTTTTTTTCTTTTGTTGTTTGATTCATATTTACAGCATATATAGCAGTAGGTACTGAATATTATAATGCTAGCTGATGTGTGATGGGGGTTCTGATGCAAAATGGCTGCCGTCGCATCATCCAGGTGGATGCTGCACATTGGTGGTGGTTGAGGAGATTTTTGGTGTGTTTACGTGAACTTTGTGTTTTGACATAATCTTGTGTGTATTTGATAGTTTAAGTGCAATAAGACTTGAATGACAACTTAGTTTAATACTCACGGGACGCGCCGTCTGACAGCCAGCTTTCTGTGTGTATGTTTCAGATGTGTGCACTCAAAAAACATATTAGTTTAAACTGAAACATGCAGATAATAAACTTTCAATGATTAAAAACTGCAATTTCACATGAGTGTGAGCGTGATAGAGATGACAATCAAAACCAAACACGTTTTGTTTGTTTTTGGCAGAGTATCAGAGGCACGAGCTGTACAGGCTCCGCCCTCTTCTGGAAAGGGGCGGGGAGCAGCAGCTCATTTGCATTTAAAGATACATGCACGAAAAACAATTAGCATTTTTGTGTAACATTGGCACTATGTGCTATGTTTCTGTTTGTTAAGAAGAAGAAAAATCATTGGACAAACTATTCTGCTAAAATTACTTTTTGACAGACACAGTTGAGAACACCTGCTCTACTATGTAACTAAATATTTGGTTACACTTTACTCTAAGGTGACATAGTTACATTGTACTCACTCAAATAAGTACTGAGTAATATTAATGAGCTACATGCACTTATAGAGTTACGGTTAGGCTTTGGTTTAGGGTTAGTTGTACTTGTAATTATGCAGTTATTACTATAGTAACTACATGTAGTAACGTGTTGCTACGTCACGTTAAAATAAAGTGTTACCAAATATTTATCCTAAGAATGAATATTCTGTCACCCTCATGTTGGGCCACACTCAAATATTATTATTTCAAGCTTCGTAAAAGTGGTCCATACGACCATGTAGCCTACAGTAGATATGTGTGAGGAACAGATTGAAATGTATGTTTTCACTTACTACTCCGCTCCAGTGGGCTATAGAGTGCAAGAGTTGGGTTTCGGAAGTAAAAATCCCATTATTTTTCTCCATAGGGGAACAGATTTTTAACAATAACTTACAAACCTTTAAAAACAGACCTAAACTAATCTATGATATACGCTTTTGATGAAGCCAGCAGCCGGTATTATTTGATATATTTATATATATCTTATATGTGATTATTTACATATAAGATATATATAAATATATCAAATTATACCGGCTACTGGCTTCACATACATGTGGTGAACAATGTATTGTGGTGAACAATGTATTGTTTCTCTATACATAATCAACATCTTTAAATCAGTTGTCTTATATTTAGCCTTAGTTTCCATATTTTGGTGCTTCTCAAACAGACAGTCTCTAAAAGGCTCTCAGCATTAAACTTTAGTATGAGACGGTCTAGTAAGTGTGCATGGCTACGTCACACACGTTCCAACCCCCACGGTCACGGCATGAAAATACTACTAAAACTTAATTTTGGAAAAATACTTAGTATTAAAATTCTTTAAATTAACTGGCTTTCTATGAATACAGTGAATGACAAGTGTCCATGGTCTCCCAGTGACTTACTTTATTGTCAGTTTAGTGTTAAAGTCCCCTTGTAGTCAATAATTGTATCCATTAAAAATCATCTTTAATCACCAAAATGACATATTTACCGTAAGCGTTTTTTTCCTCGGAAAAAAATTGTTCATGCCTTAAAACAGCTTGAATGTAACTCGACACCCTCATTTAGTATACGCGGTTCTATGAATATGCAAATGAGCCCCGCCTCCACTCACTCACTCAGCTCAGAGATCCACTGGTTGACGATCACACGTTGATCTGATTGGTTACAAGGTCGTTTGTGACGTCAGAAACACCAGCGATTTCACACCGTGTTTTTGAGACTGTCTTTGGTTCACTGCAGTTTTAAGCAGAAAATACTCAGCAATGCTGTCCACTTATGAACTTACACATGGTTTGTCTTAAAGCATATTAAAAACACCACATAGACACATGAACAACATTAAGAGCTGGATTTTCACCACAGGGGGACTTTAAGCTTTTTCAGCATTGTGAATCTCCTTGTAGACAATACGGTTATACAATCTTTTATAGGCGTATTCACGTTTGAACGCACTAAAGTTTAACAACGTTATTTTTCAATTCATTACTTCTGTATAGATTTATATATTAAGTTGCTCAAGCAAGTGACAAAACATTTAAACATACGTTTCTTATGTTAAAATCACTAATATTTAAAGGTAAAACGTACAATTGACAAACACAGCCTATCGTGCCTTTTCTTTTGCATTGAAATCTTCATACAAGATATCCTGCGGGTCATAAAGAACTTTATGTTTCTCACGGAGAGACGAGTGCCATCCATTATGCTGCCTTGTTTATCTAAATGTGAGGTAAGGTTTTAGTTCTCCTTGCTTTACCCCGGGCAAACCCCGAATGTTGACTGTGAAACAGTAAAGTTCAATTATATGCATCTATGGAGAAATTAATACATTACATGTCAATGATCCATGCTCGTTTTATTTATGCGAACAGTCTCTTTAATTCAGCATGTGCAGCTCAGCAAAAATAGACTTGGTGCAGAAACGCTGTAAACCTGGCGTAGTGTGTGCTGCTGAAAAACTCTACCACTGTGCAAATGTCAGCTAATTAAACTCAACACATTTGACCTTTCTCACCTGTAGGCTCACCCGTATCTGGTCTTCTGATTTTTGGAGAAAACTTGTGAACTGTCCATAGCATCTCCTCACTTTGATATACAAAGTTGACGTTAATTAGTCTGTGGATTCCCATTTAGCGGAAGTGTGTTTTGGGTTTGTTTCTTTGAAATGTTCTTGCTTGTCCAGCTCTGTTCCAACACTTAAAGAGCTTTCTCACTGCCTACATAGGGAGCATCCTAAATGTAATATATCCTCATATTACTGGACTGGAATGCTCTACAACTCACCAACAGACCACACAAATGAGGCATGAGTGCCTCTTCATTTTACAACTGACGTTAATGTAATGCTTTACTTGTTTTCTGCTGTATCCAGATGAATTGTTAGATGAACTGTGACAAGTCAACAGAACATTTGTTCTAACTGAATTTTATTTATTTGTTCACAGAGACATTAAGCCAGACAACATTTTACTGGACGAGCACGGTAAGCCCCTCAGATACTATACATTACCATCACACTAGTGCTTCTTGTTAAGACGAGCATTACTAGTACTATTGCTCAATTTGACTTAAAAAAAGAGGTATCTTTCATGTCAGACATTAAATGTAATTCAAATCATACAGCGTCTTGAGAAGAGGCGTTAAAACGATGGATAAAACAAAACCCCATAGAATTAGAGTTCATTAAAGGAAAGACCTCTGCCATATAGGCCCTGTTTAAGGGAGACACATTGCCGTTTACACCTGGTGTTTTAATCGGTCTCTTTTGTCCACTTTCAACCGGATTTCTTCGAGGGGAGGGTCTATGGGTGGGTAAATATACAGGCTTTTTCAGATCTTTCAATCTAATGGACAAAATACGCTCACGCAATTTACATATGAACATGAAAGAAAATACGTACATTTGCGAACGCAGCATTAATAGCGCAGAAAGCGCTTGATGTGAAACCACAGTGTGTGTGTTATGTACCAAACCTGCAGTTCATCAGGTAATCAGCGGCTGTCCACACACACTATACCGTACATTGCGCGCATTTAAACACGTAATTCACCTTTGGCTAAGCCCCGCCCCCCTTAGTTACTGTCGCTATGTCCGTCAAGCTACGACGCTCTCACGCACACACCATGTTCTCAAGCAGTGAAAAATACATCGCGGAGCAGAGAGGAGACTGACAACAGGCTGACAGACCAGGTTACTTTTCGGTTACTTTTGATATTAAACATTTTAAACAAAGTCTCACCTTTCAAATGTGGTCATTTTTAAAAAAAGAAATTTAAACAATAATGTTGGACTGTGGCAACACGGTGGCGGTAACGTTAGTCACCTTCAAAACTACCACAGCGTGTCTGTAACATTAACGTTAGGTGTTTGTATCTTGAATAACAAAGTTAGCTAACATCCAGCCGCTATTCAAAACATACAATCCTGACATACGTTAACGTTTCGTGATAACTAAACTATAGCTAAGCTTTCTAGCACCTTTCTTCATTAATTAGGGTAACGATAGAGAACCGAAATCATAACCTAACAGCATAACACTGTCTAACTAGTATAACTTCACATTAAGGTTAAAAGCAACATTTACACAAGCTCACACAAGAGGGGTTTAACGTAGTAGCTGACTGTGAGGACGTCCACACAGTTTAATCCAAAGACGACACTTGTCAGGATTTGACTTAGGTTTTGGGAAGGAAAAATAACGGACACCACCCTCCAACCTCTCTGGGAAACGCGTATCTGTGTTACAAATGCCCCAGGCACAACGTTTAACCATATTTTTGATAAAGCTACGACGATAATAACCTGCCGAGACCAAAAATATGAGACGCCTGTGTTAAAGTCAATGGAGCGCTGTGAAAAAGTGTCGGACCTCTGTGGGAGCTCGTTCTTGGCTGCGCTGTGATTGGTCAATCTACATTCTAGGGTGTGGCTTAGCCAAAGGCGAATTGAATTGACCTCCACCTCTCACTGCTGATGCTGTGACTGTTTGAATGATCCTGATGCCAATAATTGTAATGTAGCGAGGAGTTTAACAACTGCTGGAAGGGAATGTGAACGCTGAGTCGGAGATTCGATGTCATCTTTGATTTCTTCCAGTAACTGTAATATTGCGTAGCTGCTTAATCTGTAACGCTTATGATTTTGTTTTCACTCAACTGAAAAAGTGTGATTCTTGTGGCAAAGCTCTTTTCAGCCCGTCTCCTTAGCCTCTGTCTTCGTCTGGCTCGGATTACTGCTGCCATTTCACCAGGAGGCGTACGCCAATCTACATTTGACAGTGTAGATTGTTTCAAAGCAGCTTTACAGAGATAAACATACAATTTACGGTAGCAGAGATTGTTTTGGCTTTATAGCGATTTTTGAATAATGTTATTTCCAGCTAAAGTTAGTTTTGATTGATTCTCTTCCAGCAAAATTATCATTTGTTATCAAATTAGGGGCCGATAAGACGACGGCGTTCTCTCTAACAGACTTTAAACGCGAACCTGTGACCGGATGGCGTTCACATGCGCATTAAGAATTGATTCTATAGTTAAATTCGTTTGAATATATGTGCGCAGGTTTGTAATTTCCTCTAGTACTGCGGAGCTAAACCATTTAGTGCTTTGTAAGTAATCAACAATATTTTAAAATTTATACGATGTTTAATAGGGAGTCAATGCAGTGTTGACAGAACCGGGTTAAAATGGTCATACTTCCTCGTTCTGGTAAGAACTCGAGCTGCTGCGTTTTGTACCAGCTGTAGTTTGTTTATTAAGCGTGCAGGGCAACCACCCAGTAGAGCATTACAATAGTCTAGCCTTGAGGTCATGAACGCATGAACTAATCGTTCCACATTTGTTAATGAAAGCATATGGCGTAATTTAGAGATATTTTTAAAATGGAAAAATGCAGTTTTACAGATACTAGACACGTGACTTTCAAAAAAATTAGGATATTAAGGAAAGATCATGTTCCATAAAGATATTTAGTAAATTTCCTACCGTAAATGTATAAAACATTTATTTTTGTGAGTGGATCAATCGAGAACATAAATGGACAACTTAAAAGGCGATTTTCTCAATGTTTCGATTTTTTTACACCCTCAGATTCCAGATTTCAAATAGTTGTATATCGACATCAATGAAAAGCTTATTTATTCAGCATACAGATGATGTATAAATCCCAATTAAAAAAAAAATACCCATGTGACTGGTTTTGTGGTCCAGGGTCACATTTCAGGTTGGTCCCGCCAATGCGCATGTGCAGCTCTAAGTGAATATTAGCAATATTATCGCGATATCTTTGCTGTCGAAATAAAATTAGGAAATACCGTTTATATTGCGATAATATTAAAAGCCTGGCTTAAAAAGAAACATTTACATGTTTCACAGCTTTAGGCATATAGTAAATCAGAGATTTAAGAGATTCATAGTGCAGTATAGACAAATACATTGATTATAACGTGAGTTCACATTGGTGTGATTGACAGCTTCAGTGATTATGAAGAAAGCGCTCTTTGCTTGCTTTCTGTTTATAACCCATTCACAATTTTAATAGAAGTTTATAAAATGCAGTGATTCGCAGTGATAACCATGGCAATGGACGGGACACAAATCTGATACAGTATATCAAAATAGATTAAATTGTGGATGTGGAGTGTAAATGCAAACTAACAGACCTCCCACTTCTTTGTTCTTCAAAGAACTCACTGGCGAGTTTTGCATTAAAATTGTATTGTAAAAAATACAAATGTAAAGATCTGCAGGTATTCACTTTGATTAGGTATTGAATGTTATTAATGGCAGAGAGACGTTCTTGCTTCACATAGGTTTGGCTGACCAGTGTTTGTCAGAGAGAAAGAGCAAACTGCATCATTTTTCATCAAAATATAAATATGAAGATGGCTATGAGTCTATCCCTAAACAAACACACAGCACGGGGTTGAAAATTACAGAGAAGCCTTGTGAGTTTTTCTCTCTCAGCATCTGTTATTCTCTCTTATACTCTTTTGTGTGGGAAGCAACAATGACCACATACTTTTTCAGTATCCTAGGTTCTGGAAATATGAATCTTCAGTAAAGAGTTCTTCTAAGCCATGAGCTCAATCACATTACAAGCTTTGCATTGAGTATTTCAAAAATATTTTATGCACCTTAATATACAGTCGTGCTCAAAAGTTTACATACACCTTGCAGAATCAGCAAAATGTCTCCCTGTGGTGAAGCTCCAGCTTTTAATATTGTTTATATGTCTATGTGGTGTTTTTAATGTGCTTTAAGACAAACCATGTGTAAATTCATAAGTCGACAGCATTGCTGAGTAGTTTCTCCTTAAAACTGCAGTGAAAACTTTTAAACAGGATGAAGATGTCCAAATGGTTCTTATTTTGTTTAAATATCAGATTTTTTCATATGGCACTGCCCTTCAGAATTAATTACAATTTACCTTGATCTTCAAATTCAACAAAAGTTTTCACCCCCCAGCTCTTAATGCGTCATGTTTCCTTCTGTTGCATCAGTGAATGTTTAATCCTTTTTTAATAGGCTAATTAGGGCCCAAGCCTTGAAAAGGCGAAGGCCCTATTGTTTTCCTAAGGATTATTATTTATTATTATTATTATTATTATTATTATTATTTTACTACCTTTTGGGCACTTTTGGGGGCCTTAACGTGCTCGAAAACTCTTGAAACTTTGCACACATCTCAGAACCCGCGGCCATCAGGGCCGGGCTGAAGCTGGTACCCGGGCGTGGCAGGGGGGCTCGACAGCGCCCCCTGGAACGGGGTTTGAACACTTGGTCCATAAATCAAACACGCTTGCATGTAATAATATGAAACTCAGTACACATATAGATCTCATCGGTTCATATATACTTCATGCTCTTACTTTTTACCCCAGCCCAACAGGAAGTCGGCTATTAAGGGTTGTTTGGAAAACACATGCAATGGAATGTGAAATACTCCTCCTAGAGAATTCAAACACACGGCACGAAACTCGGTCAGCATGAAGTCAAGACACTGAGGATGAAAAATTGCCAGGGGATTTTTGATATCTCGAACGGTTTGGCCGTGGCGAGTAAACGAAATTATGGCGAGAAACGTGAAACAGGAAGTGTGTTATAACTACTGCATACATTAACTAATCTTGATGAAACTTCAGCAGTGTGTTCGTTGTAAGAGCCCGATCACATGGATGTGACTATTGTGAGTCAAAGTTATAGCGCCACCAACTGGCAGCAGGAAGTGTGTCACTTTCAAAATGCTTTTAAATCACCCTCTTATTTTTACCCGATTTGCTTCAAACTTCATGTGCATAATGTAGACACACGCCAGATGTAGACCTGTGAAAGGATTATTGATATCTTAGATACTGTTGCCATGGCAATGCATCAAACATTAATATTCCTTTTTTTAAGCTTTTTCATGCTTTTTTATGCTTTCGGGCACTTTTGGGGTTCTTAACGTGCTCGAAAACTCTTGAAACTTTGCACACGGGACAA